TAAGAGGTATCTAAGCGAGATCAAAGAAGGATCACTGGAAAAGGCGGAGAGAAGTAGGCAGTAGACTGACTACCATGTAGAAACTCAGTTCCAAAAATAAAAGCAGTAGAAATGCAGAAAATAAATGAGCAGAAAGTAAATTTAAAGCATATAAACGTTAAAGCCCAACTGCGGCAAAGCCAGACAAAGAGGGCAGAGGAGATGAGAAAAGAAGAGTAAGTTTAATACAAAATAGTTGTATTGATTGAAAAGATTACAAAGGCAAGATAGATAGGGGAGAGGTTCTCACTCTAAGCTCTCTCACATTTCACGAAATGAAAGTTCTGCCTGACATCATGGGCAGAGATGCTATTTATAAAAAAAAATTATTTCAACAGTAAGACTGAAATCCTGCTATAGTGAACAGTAATATTCCGCTTCCGCTACAGTGAATAGTGAACAGTTGCTGGGAACAGTACCCTTTCGCAGGATGAACAGTAGAAGGATTATTCTTCTTCTGAATTGGTAGCTGCCTCTAGATCAATCCCAAAGCAGTCGTCTTCGTTCTGGAAATATGATCTTGAAGAAGATGATGGAGAGGAGGCTTCCTTCTTTGATTTCCCTTTAGATCTGGAAACTTCCTTTTTACCTTTAGACGATTCTTATTCTGAATCTGTCTGAAGGAGTTCTAGAATTTGATGAAGATTGGTTGTCAAAACTTCATCACTTGTTGAGGCAGCAAGGGCTGAGGCAATTTGTGCTTTCCTGTTTAGAAACTTACAAGTCTCTGGGTCAGCAACTTTGAGACTCTTAGGATTTTTCTGAAACCAAAGAGCCACTCCTTGAGTGTTTGCGCGGGAGGCATCAAATTGATCCCACCATTTGATCGAGGCTTGCTTGCCAAGGATTGGAAGAAGCTTGGGGTTGGAGTTCTTCTTGTACTGGTGTTGCCAGGCCAAGATCCAAGCTAATGAGAACTTTGAAAAGAAATGAAGAGAGAAGTGAAATGGACTGGTTCCTTCTTCAAATCTTGATTTAAATTGATTATATCCTTCCTTAATATCTTGGGGAAGAATATTTTGGATTGGTCCGAAAATTTTCCACCATTCGGCGAACCATTAGGGGAAGAAATATCGAACATTCTTTTTGAAATAGATTAACCAAGAATGCCTGCGGTTTTTATTCTGGAACCAGAAAACATTTGTCCAGGCATTAATATAATCCCAGTAGTTATAACCAATCGAGTCAAAAGGCTGAGAAAATTTTTTGACTTGGTTAGGATTTGTTTCAAAATCTTTAAAAGTTAAAACTTTTAAAATTTGAAGAGTTGAATAAGCGATAAGCTGGTTATCACTTTTATCAAAATTGTGTTTAATAGAAACAGATTTTGAATCCACCAATATAAATTCATAAAATTTCCTCGTCTTATTAAGACTAAGGGGTTTAAAAAGAAAAGTTGGTGGAAATATCTTTTCACAAATTTTATTTGGATTAGGATCCCAAAATTTGGGCTCCATTTGGATTGTTGGGAAAAATCTTCCTTCTTTTAAATGATAGGAGGATGTTTGTTTTTGGATAATTGGCTGAGGCAGCTCAACCAATGTTTTAGGTTGCTGTTTTGGATTGAGGGTTATTTGTGATTGGGCTATTTGAGAAATGATAGACTTTAGATTTTGATCCCAGAAGTTATCCACATGTTCTTCTGAAAAAATTTGCTTCCATGATTTTGTTGGAAGGTGGGTAAGCCCGGTATCTTGGAGGGCTTGAAGGGTTGGTAATGTCATTGCATAATCGGATGGTTTGGTGGCTTGCTGAGTAGATGGCTCAGTTTTGACTGATTTAAGGGTAGATGACCCAGCAAGGGTAGATGACCCAGCTTGGGTAGATGACCCAAATTGATCTTTTCTTTGGGTAGATGACCCAGTTTGTTTTGTCTCCTTGGTGAGAGACTCCTTCCTCAAAGCCTTAGAAAAGGCTTTTTCAGATTGAACATCCTCTAAGAGGATATTGATTTGCCTGATCGGGAGGACCTGTCCAGAGAGATGCCTCTACCTCTTCCTCTAGAATAGGTTATCTTTAACCGAAGCTTTGGTGTCATTTCATCACTCTTTTCCCTGTCACTCTTTTCCCTGAAGAAATCACGGGTAAGATAGTCAGGTAAAGTGTTTGAGGTGCCTTTGATATATTCTATTTCAAAATCAAAAACACTTAGTATTGCTTGCCATCGGGCAAAAATTTGTTTTGATGCAAGATTTTTCACATCTTTTTGTAAAATTTCCTTGGCTGATTTACAATCAACCAGGACTAAAAATTTTTGATTTAATAAATCAGATTGGAATTTTGAAATACATAGAACAATGGCCAAAACTTCCTTTTTTATGGTAGAATAATTTTGTTGGGCCTTGTTCTAGTATTTTGAAGTAAATGCAATGCAATTTTCAGAATTATGCATGCGTTGTTTGAGAACAACACCGTAACCAATATCGGAGGTGTTAGTTTCAACAATTTTGAAAAGATTGGGATTGGGTAAATACAGGCAGGGTAAAACCTTGACCTGAAGTTTGATTTGTTTGACAAGGTTTGTATGAACATCAGTCCATGGGGGGGGAGATTTTTTAAGTCTCACATGAAGAGGCTTAGTAATATTACTGAGTTGCGGGAAAAAATCAGCAACGTAATTGAGACAACCCAAAAATCTTTAAAGTTGCGTTTTATCAAGAATTTGATTGGGGAATTTATCAGCAAATTCGATAACACGACAGATAGGTCAGATGATTCCTTGAAAAATAGTATGACCAAGAAATTTAATTTTTGTCTGAAAGAGACAAATTTTTGTTTTGGAGACGGCAAGACCATTTCATTTGATAACATTGAAGAATATTTTAAGGTGTTTGAAATGATGATCAATGGAATTGGAAAAAATTAGGACATCATCAATATAGACAATGCAGAAATTGGAATAAGGATTGAAAATATCATTCATGATATTTTGAAACTCGGAGGGAGCGTTTTTTAGGCCAAAAGGCATTACATTCCATTCGTATTGCCCAAATGGAACAGTGAATGCAGTCTTGTAGCGATCACATGGATTGATTTGGATTTGCCAGAATCCAGATTTCATATCAAATTTTGAAAAGACTTTTGCCGAATGCAATCGAGCAAGAAGATCTTTTTTGTTAGGAATAAGATAACGAATGCATTGAAGGGCTTGATTGAGAGGTTTGTAATTGATTACTAACCGGGGAGCCCCACGCTCAATCTCGGAAGCTTTGTTGACATAGAAAGCAGCGCAAGACCAAGGACTTTTGCTCTTTCTGATTAAACCTTTGGATAAGAGATCCTTGATTTCGTTTTGGCAATGGATGACGAGCTCATGACTCATCTGGATGGGCTGAGCTTTGGTCGGGATTTGTCGATCAGTGAAATCCTTCTCATAAGGAAGGTTAACCATATCTTTCTTACGATCCCAGAAAGCATTGGGATGGTCAGAACAGATGATGTTATGGAAACGATCATGAAGATTTGCAATACGATTTTTGATATGCGTTTGAGAAAGCTTGCTTTCGATATGCTTGAAGGAAATTTCTTCTTTGAGGAAATTGATCTGATTGAGCTTGTGATCAATTTGATTGATACTCCGGACGAGAGGTTTGTTTAAGAATCTGAAAGTGATAGTTTTTCCCAGATGATGAGTAGAAATACCATCGCTGGAAATATTGATTGGAAAGATAGATTTAATGAACGGAGTTCCAAGAATAACATCGTTCTTAAGATTTTTAACCAAGAGAAAAGGTGTTTCAACCTGGAGACTATTGTTTTTGATTGTAGCCGAAGGGAGCTTATACCTTATTTCAAGGCGGGAACCACTAGCGGTCCTAAGCTTCTCTGAGGTTTTGTGGAAGTATTTGGTTGGTATAAGACCTTCCAAAATACAATTGGAGTCAACG